AGGGGAGACAGCCACCCAACTCTAGGAGTGACTACAGAAAGAATGAGCACATACTAACTGCTATACAATAGGCATATTTCCAGGCTCACTGAAGTTTAGCTTCCTAGGCAGGCAGATAAAAGCCTAATAAAAGGGAGGTTCATATTATATTTTTAATCAACATAGTTATAGCAATATTGATATCAATATCATACTCATGAAAAAATCATTTCAGTGGGAACAAATCTCAAACAGTCATTTGCTGCAACCTCCTGCTCATCTTAATATTAAAAGATTATTAGTTTATTAGCTGTTTCTAAACAGTTTTTAGCCAGTAGGAATCCAAGTACAATAGTAAGCTTATCTCTTCCTGAAGATACGGCATAGTTTGTATTTTTTTCATGAGATTGTAAACTTACAAACTTGTAAACTTTTGCATCTGACATATTTAGAGCAGAAAACCAAAGTAAGGTGGGTCCAGGAAGCTGAAGATGATGCAAGGGAAATTTAGTAGCAAACAACCAAGGTAGAGGGAAGGCAGAAGATGAAGTAAGAGATATATTAGAATTAGAACAGGAAGGCTAGAACAACGATGGCTTGGGGAACATGGCCAAACAGAGAAAAACACCTGATTTGTGGAACTTCAGCAAAGGCTTATTTCCTGGCAAAGTGCTGTTAAATGGAAGGTGTCAGCTTCCCAAGAAAGGGGCAAAAATTGAGCTTGATTTTTCCAGGCTCAGGAAGACAACATTTCCCCGTATTGGGGAAACAACAACAACAAAGCTTTTAAGTCCCAGGGATTTCTGGAACATGGGTTATCAAGACTGTAATCCCTGAAGCAGCAAGATTGGAAGGATTTTCTGCTGAAAGAACAAGGCTGATTTTTTGGCTTCCGACAGTATGATGCTGCTCTTGGTTCTGGACGTAAGGGTATCCTTAGAGGGCCTCCCTTCCCTCTGTTTGTTGGTCACTGTGATGAACAGACATAACAAATGAACAGCTGTTGTTGAAACACTGGTAACAGTCTCCAGCTTTAATGAAAGATCATGACCAGCCTGGTGAAACAATTATGGAAATTAAACAGATTAAGTTTATTTAAAAAAGTGTGATTTTGTGCAGAGAGCTACTTCTCTAGCATAATGGGAAAGCAAGATGCCTGAACCAGTTCAAAGCAGAGTGCTTCTTAGCAGCTCTGGACTCCCCTTGGAATACGGTGTTCTCTTCAAGACAAGGTAACTTGGGACCCAACCCATAAGCAGGATAGAGATCTTATTTCTTGATTAAGCACCATCCATAAAACAACTATCAGCTCCTTAGTCAGAGCCATATTGCTTACTACTCATGAATGAGATGAAATATGATTTCTTGTAATGATAGACATTTGGAGTTGGCCAGTCTCTAGTAGACAGCAACTAGAATATGGTTCCTGGTAGTGGAGTTGATTCTTGTTTCTGCCTTAGCTTCCCAAAGCTGTTGCAAGTTGGTAGTTTTATAGTTTAGTAAACTGCTTGTTTCCTGATCACACAAAAAGGCAAATTGCCTTCTTCAGCACAAGCAGTTAATGCTCAACACCATCCTTCTTTTAAGGGGACAATATTGTCAGGTTAAAGGATTACAGGTTAAAGGAACAAGAATGAGTAATGATGCTGTTAGCAGATGAATTCCCATCAAATATTTGAAACTCAAGAAAACATTCATGTAAGCGCAGAAATATATTCATTATATATTGGGCATACTGCAACCATGCAGGAGTCCACCTTATCACTCAGATTCTGCCAAAAATGCCAGCACTGGGGACTCTATTCAGTTACATAACTAGAAAAAAAAAATCAGGCCACTTATTATATCCATCCCATCTCCAATTCTTAAGCATAGCATCCAGAAGCCACACTTTTGGGTATCCCCCAGTCCTACCTCAAGTGTCCTTCAAAGTTTTGCAGATAGGATCTTCATAGCATGGAATACATGACAGGCTATAAGTTAATAATTAGACTTACTTTAGTGCTATTCATCATATAATAAATTAACTGCAGATCAGTTAATCATTACCACGGCTTGGCAGGAGGAGAAAAAAAAAAAAAAAGCTTTGGCTCCCAGAAGCTGTTGATGGGAAACATGCCCCAGGGGAGGTTACCAGCATTGCATGTGGAGCATTGGTCATCTGTTCTTAGCTGGAGCACAGCACTCACCACTGCCAGGGCTGCCTGCCTGGGGGGCCACACTATTCTCTCCCATTACCCAGGCTTGCAAGGAATGCTGAAGTACTGTGCCCACCAGAGCAAGTATTTCAAGCTCAAGAAGGATGAACATTGTGCTAAGAAGAAAGCTCAGGCAAGACTGGAACTAGGCTAAAGGAAGGACAAGGAACAAGAAATCAAGGAAGGATACTGTACAAACACCAAAATGGAGCAAAAAAATAGAAAATACCGGGCTCAAACACTATTTACGAGTTCCCACCCACCATCTGCAACACTAGTGCAGTAAATGCAGAAATTGTTCTTCTTCCATCAGTGAAGTTGTATCTTAGGCAATGGTAAGAATTCAGGTTGTTGTTCTTGTGAGAAGGAAACTGATTTAGAAATCATGCAGCAGGATGGACTGCGTGAATCAGTAGAGCCACCTGCCTCTTGCAACAACTCCAAACAAGCAGGAAAAAAAAATATGTATATACACATACAAGATTTTTTAAACACCTGAATCCTTCTATCCTCCATATAATGGATCAACACTTCAAATAGTGTGGTCATTTAGCCTCACCATCCTGAAATCTTATGTGGATATATTTATTTATTTATTTCCGATTCAGCAGTTACAATTCTCAGCAAAGGTGTAGTGCCATCTTTTGGCAAATAGCAGAAAAGATACCCAGTTTCTTTAAGCCTGGACAAAAAAGGACTCTTAAGAGTACTGTTCTAAATCATGACAATACTACTGGCAGTCAGACCATTCTGAGAATTGCTCAGATTAGACCAATTATACTCTCTACCAGTCTCTACTTTAGTGAAGAGGTTGCTTAAAATGACATGAAAGAAGTTCCTTTTATATCCTATCATTTTATGGTAAAAATTAGAAAGACCCATCACACACACACTGCACTGACTTGCACTCTGACTCAGTTTCACTGGAGATTGTGGCATTGTGGCAGAAACTATGGATTTTTTTTTTTTTACAAGCAAGCAAAAAAAAAAAAGAAAAACCACACACACTTGCCTGAGCAGCTGAACTTTAGGTAAAGAATTAAGACTTACCACTGCACATATACATGTTATATTCAAAGAAGGGGGGTGTTGAAAAGCACTAATATGCTTCAAGTTCTAGCCTGACAGCCCAAGATCTCGGATGAGGGAGTGGGTACAGAACATGGTACAAAGGATTGCCTAACCAGGAGGCACAGCTGCCCTGCTTACACAGCAGGGAGCCTGCCACTTACATTAAGGAAACATCACCTAGAAATAAAGTGGGTGGGGTCTAAAGTCTTCTTGTTACACTGGCAATTCCTCAACTGCTTCCAATAGATTTGTGAGCAAAAGCGGCATAAGCAAAGTTTTGTGCCACAACACCTTGTAAGTCTCAAAGTAGACCTATGTAAGTCAAGAAAGCTACTCTTAGCTTGCAGAAGTGTTTCCCAAGGCTTCTGAGCCCCTGCTGAGCTCTGAAGTCACTAGGAGTCAGTTTGGTGCCAGTGCTGGCCAAGAGCCCAGCAAACACCTGAGAGACTATTGGGAAAAGCAACAGTCCCTAGACCAGCCTGATCCATGGTGCTTACGAAAGCACCAGAGCTCCTGAAAGCACTCCTAGCACTTCCCTAGTTCTCAAAAACACTACTGATACCACCTCATTCAAGCCTAAAAAGCACTGAGGTGGCTTGTCAGGCTATTTAGAAGTAATCATGTGCTCACTCTTATTCTGCAACTACACAGATGAAACCTTCTCCAAGCAAAACAAGGCTAAACCCCATAAGTAACTTTTCACAACACATTAAGGAATAGACTAATACAGTTCAATTGTTTAATTGATGATCAATTGATTACAAGGATGATTAGGGGCCTGAAACATCTGCCCTATGAGGAGAGGCTGAGGGAGCTGGGCCTGTTCAGCCTGGAGAAGAGAAGGCTGAGAGGGGAACTGATCAGTGTCTATAAGTACCTCAAGGGAGGGAGTGAAGAGGATGGTGCTGGCCTCCTTTCAGTGGTGGCCACCGACAGAACTAGAAGAAACGTCCGGAAACTGAAGCATCAAAGGTTCCACAGGAACTTAAGGAAAAATTTCTTAACAGTGAGGGTGACAGAGCCCTGGAACAGGCTGCCCAGAGAGGTTGTGGAGTCTCCTTCTCTGGAGATCTTCAAAACCCGCTTGGACGCAGTCCTGTGCCACGTGCTCTAGGTGTCCCTGCGTATGCAGGGGGGTTGGACTAGATGATCTCTAGAGGTCCCTTCCAACCCTAAGCATTCTATGATTCTATGAATTATTCTCCAGGAGAATAATCTGTTTAGTTTTTCCTGAACAGTGACTTTTTTTTTTTAAGTGCCAAATACTGAGAAATAACTTGTAAGTTTAGGGACTTTTTCTTGTTTTTCAATATATTTGGGATAATACTTCTAGTTTTGTAGTGTAACATAACAGCCATTTGTCTTTTTGCAGTGGGGACTGTAGTCTGCTGCTAGACTGCACTGTGGGTTTAATTTTTTAGAACAGTGACTAATATTTCCAGAGAAATAATTTAAAAACTCAGATATTTAGCTGCACTTCAGAAAAATCTATGAGCAAAGACTATGATGAATCCTATTTTATATTCAGATGTAGACTCCTTTTCATTGCATTACATTTCAGTTTCCTTAAAAATCAGTGGCATGGTTTGTCTCTGTGGACAAAGGACAAGCTAGTCTGAAGGAAAGTTGGAGAAAAACATGCTTGTCATAAGAAAATATTGGTACAATATATGCCATTATTATCTACCCAGATATAAGCTACAACCTTTGTTTGTACTACAAAACTGATTTTTTTTTAAAGCTGTATTTTACCTGATGGTTGCTTGTATCAGAAACTTTAACATCCAGCGATCCTGTCAGGACAGCATACCAGCTTGTTCCAATATCACCCTGACGAAACACTGGAAAGACAAATACTGTAAATAAAAATTTGACTCAAATTTATCAACTTTAACAAACATGTTAAATTCAGATTATTGTATTTCTGTAACCACTGCTGGCCTTACAAAGCTTGCCACATCAGATTTAGTTGTTTGATAACATCGGCAATGCACTGCAAAGCGCCCAGTATAGTATATTGATCCAGAGACCAGCAGTGGTGTGGGAAAGCACACAGCATTGCTTCACCCATCTCCCCAGTTTGCTCCTTCATCCCTACTTTTGCTAATAAATACTTTCTGAACATTTTTGCTTTGATATTCTGACTCTTCCAATGCTCATACAGATCCCATTGATTTTAGTAAGAGCTCTGGCTGAGAAACTGCTGCAGGACTTAGATACTGAGACATTTCAGCTGTGTGATTACTAACCATCAGAACTCCTACTGCTCAAAACAGGCTTCAATCCTGGGTGCCTAAAGCATGCCAAATTTATCAGGAAAAGTTCAGAGACTTTATCAAACAAAACACTTACATCAGGTCTCCATCAGCTATTCCCCTGGTACAGCACTGAGAACTCAGATTCCCATTCCCACTTCTTCCCAAATGTGTTGTGAAGAACCACAGCTGTGCAGCTTCACCTGGCACAGGGGCTGTTAGAGCAGGCACAGAGCTGTTATACCCCACAAGAGGATGCAGCTCTGTAGGTCTTATCCAGAGTGACTGCAAGCCATGGATTACCAGGGATCTACCCAGGCAACAGATTTCACTTTTGCCCTGACATCACAGGGCACCCAAAACAAATGAGAAAAAGGAGATAACACATTTATAGGGGAAGAATGAAGCTTAAGTGCAGTGTCTGGCTTCTAATCTTTCAGTAAAAGAGTGGCAGAGTCCTAAATCCAGTAACATATGCCTTGTTGCCATAGAGTCACCACAGACTGTAGAGCAAGGAGCACTTTAGGCCTGCCTTCGCCCATGACTAAGACTGTAAACATTTTTATGAGTGTTCCACTAGCTCGGCTCTCTCATCAATCTCCTAGAGACGATCCCAACTCCAACTTCATCTATGCAAAACAGATCTTCACATGAAGCTCTCTTACATGTGATTCCCTTTTCCAGATTTTCATAATATCCACAGAGACATATCTGTTGGAGAAGGTTTGGATGAAACTTCTCAAAGGCTTTCACATCCTTCAGCCGAGTGAATATTATATCCACATCTTCACTGGACCGCTCCAAAGGCCTGCAAGAAGACAAAGGAGAGTTCTCAAGGGCTTTACCAGAAGTATCTCCCTACCTGCATTCACCAATCCCACAAGTGCTGGCATATCCCCCCCAGCAGTAATGCACAAACCAGTTAAAATGCATTTTGTAAGTACACAATGAAACAAAACATCACGCTATCTGTTGTCAGGATAAGCAAAGTTGTTATCATTTTAGTACAGGCAGCATTCAGAAATCCCCTTCAGCACCAAAGCCCTCCTGTAGCAATAACTATGCAAGTAGATATGATGTTGCAGGCCCCATTCTAAGGGCTTAGAATTATAAACATGAAGTTATACATTAATATGTGTATAATGTTTTGCCTTCAGACAGCATACGAAAAGCCTGCAGAACTACTGCTCAAAATAGGAGCTTTCTATGTGCCTAAAAGAAAAGCTTCCACCCCCTTCTAACCACCTCTTTGAGATGTTACTGGGCACAAACTTGAGTGCTCAGTTCTCTTTTCTCACTCCGAACAAGAATGACGGTATTAATGAGCACATTCTCTTTCAGCCTCTTACACTCTCTCTTAACATTGGAAAAGTTATGTATACAAACAAGACAAGAGTCTTAAAAACTGTTCATCAGCAAGGGTAAAGAATCTTAACCCACCTTCTAAAAACTGACAACAGACAGATGAATCCTGAAAACAAGTGGAGATAGGAGAACATATCTATGTCAAGGTGCAGTTAAAAAATATTAGGAGAGTTGATGCACTACCATGAACGAAATAAAAGCCTACAGAACTCAAACAGCAAGTAGTATATGTAAAGTTTATAACCTATTTTCCTTCTTTTACAGAAAAAAAGGCATTCCTAGATAAAAAAATAAAGCAAAACATTTAAAATTTAAAAAGGAATTACATGGTTGCTTTCAGCAACAATAACAAAAAATGAAGTTTTAGAATTTCTTCCAATAAGGTAGCACATAGACCAGGAGTTCATAAAATTATAGTATATTTACAAAACTAATGCAAATTAGTTTAGTAAAATATATTTTAAATATGATTATCAAACATTGTGAATCAGCACATAAATAACCATTAACTGACACTATTAAAAACTTTCATAATACACCAAACACCAACTATCAGCTAAAGAAACAGCTTTCTTAAGAGATTACGTTGGAATTTCAGGTGCAAGAGTCACCAAATGACAAACAAGTGATCCTATCATCCAATAAAGCACTACTAGCTTACATGACAGAAACATTTATTCAGGGGATAAGGCCTTAAAATATATATGTATAACTAACAAACAGCAATGGTTAAGGCAACATATACTTATCATTAATATCCTTAACATTGTTGTTAATATAAAAGCTTCTAACAGGATTTAAAAAAAAAAAAAAAAAAAAAAAAAAAAAAAAAACTAATTCTGCCCAACACCCAAAGACTTTAACTACTTTTATGGTTGTTTCTAGATCCCAGGGATACCCTTTTACCACTTCAAACCACAATCAACTACAATAGCTCTCTTTTGAAATCCTTCAAGTAAGATTTTTCACCTGTATTTTTTTTTGCTATGCTCTAATATGCTCTAACTGACAGATACTAATAAGCATTAATGCTCTTGTCAAACTCTTTTAAGAAGATTAGGAGATTCCTACTCAAACTACACCACCACTTATAATACTAACTCCCTCAATTTATGAACTCTCAAAATTAACAGCATAACTCGACAAGTAAAGAAAAGGGTAGGGTAGTAATTCTCAGTATATCCCATTTTCCTGGAAAAGTTCCGGCTCTGAGACTGCTTCATTCACGCAGCTCCCTATGCCAAATACTGTAGAAGTCCATCAGTTCATTTGCATGGCATCTACTGCAGGATTTGAGTGCTTCTGATTTTAAACTGTTTGATGCAGGGGAACAGGGAAAAAGCAGGCAGGATTAGCAAATTATACACCACATATTTTACAAATTTCATCAACACCCTGTTCTCTCAGTGTTTTTCCTGAAATGTAAATATAGAAATCTCTCTTCCTTCAGTTTCAGCTAAAGGACACGCTTAAGTATTTGGCGGGGACTGGTGATATAAGGTATAGGTACATACCTTTTTTTTTTTTTAATGAGAGCTGCTGAAGGCTACAGAGAGGGAATTTCCATGTCGTTCATGACAAGGTAAGAGCAGGGCCTCATTCCATTTGATGTGGGGACACCTCGTGGGGCAGATTAATTGCAGTGAAAGCTCCTCTGACAAAACTGCCTTGCAACCCCAGGAAAGAGTCATCATGGAAAGAGAGGCTTCCCTATGGGAGGCTGAGCCATCAATCAGAAACCCAAATCCATATTTATTGGTAAAGATCAATCAAAGTGATGTTTTCCTCACGTTGGCGAGCAGTAGTAGGAGTGGATGAAGAGGCCCTGAAAAGGGGGATGTGCAGCAACAAGCTCTGTGCAAAAAGAGGAATCCAAGCTTGGATCACAGTAGCTACCTATAAAATGATTTATTACAATATTCCATAATTAATTATTGCAAGCCAATCGTTTCAGTAGCCTTTTCTCAAAATACACCAGGTTTTGCATTAATATGTGTATCTATTGTTTCACAAATATTTTTATTAGAAAGACATATATTTTGACCTAGAGTATTTGGAAACTGGCCTAGAACATGGAAGTGGCTTTCAATGAACGATTTAACTTTTAAACTATCTTAGAAAAGGTGTGTCCTCCTCTAGATGTGTTTCCCCCAAAAAGCAGCTGCCAGCTGCAACTCATCAGCTGTCTCAACCAGGCAGCCCTTGCATAAGAGTAATAGCAGTAGTACTCAAATTCATTTCTATTAGGTGTTTCTAATCTGCAGCAATCACAGTTTTCAAAATAATAGTTTTACTTAGCGAGAAAATGTAATGAGAATAATGAAGCACCACGGTGTCACTTAATTGTTTTTCCCCATGTCTTTGGGGAGACACCTTTTAATGAAATTATCAACATTATAGCTGTTGTCATCATCACTAAATCACTAAACTTTAACAAATCTGTTTATGATGCCTGTTTTGGGTTCCCACCTAAGTATAAGCTGCCTGGCAAGGAACAACATCAGTACAGGATAATATAAATTAACTTTCTTCCTATTGCAAATATCTTACTGTCTTGTTGAAACTTGACTTTTGGTAAACCCGGGTTGGGGATAATATTTAAGCAAATAATAAAGGAAAACACTCTTTAGAACATTAATAATTGAACATATAACTAGAGAAGAACAACTACTGTCCAACAGTGACTTCCTCAGGATTCACTGTCACTGCAGTCGCCCGGTGGGTGCCGTGGCATTAACGCAGCCGGGAGCTCCTCTCCAGCCGGGAGCCTGGTGCAGAGGTGCCCCCAGAGAGGAGCGTCTCCCCGCGCGGCCCTCGGGAAGGCTTTGCTGCCGGATCAGAGCCCCCGAGGTCCCTCCTCCGTGATCAGCGCTCCTGCTCACTACAGAGGACGCCCACGGGGACTGGCCCCCCTGCTCACTGTCTCCTTCTCTTCTCTTCCGCGGCGCTGCTGCTGCTGCACTACTGAAGTGTCCCCCCACTGCTGGTGCCGCAGAGTTAGAACTTGATAACTACGGGCATCAGAAGTTCAAAAATCCATTTCAGAGAGGTTTCAAATACGTTATTTAAAGAAATCCACTGGGATCTCTACTAAAGCTTCCATCCTTTCCTAAATGTACTCTATTCTTGAAAGCCTTAGCTTCATTTATGGAATATGACCACAGTTGAATCTGA